GGTGGATCTTGAAGCGGGCGCGTACAAGGGTATGGTCTGTACCGCTCCTGTTTCCAGTTTCTGCGCCGCAATAGAAGAGGCCCACCGAGCACGTACCAAAATATAATTAATCTGGTCTGCCGTTCGACCATCATTTGAGTACCACGTGAGCAGGTGTTTTCTGGGGTGCTGGTCACGACCAGTCGGTTAAGGTCAGCAAATGTGACTAGGCGTTCGCCATTTTCGCAACGTTGACCAAGGCCGAACCTTCCAAGAATATTGCCGAGTAAGTTCGTCTGACGGACCAGTGCGTGCGTTCCAGTCCCCTGCGATAACGAGGATGTCGCGTCTCGGACTGCGGTTCACTGCGTCTTGAACTTGGTTGTAGAAGTCATCCTTGATGGGCTCTTCCGCATGTAACGTTGGAGCGTATACAGCGATAACAGTCAGGTTAAACGGCTTTCCTTTGAAGCGCGCTATGGCAATCCTGGGAGAGATTGGTTCTCAGGAAATCATGGCATTGTTGGCCCGACCGATCACGGCGATTGCTACCCCGTGCGAACCGGAGTTGTCAGTTGGGCCGCTGTGGTATAACCGGTAGGTTGCGTTGCTATGTGGTACGTTGATTAATTTCATGCCACAGTTAGGTAGTCGGACTTCGGACAAACAACAGGTGTCTACCTTGTAGTTGTGCAGTGATCGCATTGTGATACACTGGTTTCCTGTGTCTAGCAATGTCCAAACATTCCAGCAGGCTACATGGGTGCTGGATCCGGTGCATAGATTATTTAGGTTCCCAGGTTGCTCATTTGTCACCCCAGCCACTGGGAGGGCGCAGGGTGCGTCGCTTACCGGGAACGCCGTAGCATAAACGTGATGTACCATTGTAAGACGATCCATGCAGAAACTTGGGAATGAGGTGACGTCTCCAGCGTCGCTCGGCTTTTGTTCGAGGGTGCACCTCTAACCCTTGCACAACCAAGTGCGACCTGTAGGGTAACAGGGTAGAATTTTTGGTAGCCGGTGATCGTTAGAACGGTCCATACGCCTTTCGGATCGCTCTGCACCGGTCCAGGACTCCCAACGTGTCCGTGAGGTAGCATTCGTCAGTTTGTCCTACTCGTAAGAGTAGGCAAGTGGCAATGGCCTTATTTGGTGGCCGGCCACATTCACACATCTCGCGATGCTGTCAGCAGGCATTTTAACAGGATATCGGTTGCCAGCCGAAAACCCAACCACGTCCTCTAGCATAGCCGCTGATCGTCCGCGACCGATTCTTCAGTGAGGTAGCCTCACCTACTCATGGTTAACCACCAAGGTGGCCGTTCTCCTATGCGCGATCTGGAGACGCGCTCGGTAGCACTCAGCTGTGCTATCCGTAGATAGTTCCATGCCTTCGGGTCGTGTATTCCAAAGGCTGCGTATCAAGGCGGCTGGACCATGACCGGGTGTGGATGTATGAAGCTTTCGTTGATACAATCCGTTTTCCAGGTTGAGACCCAGAGTATGAGGGTTGCCGATAGCTAGAGACGCTGAGATCTATGGCCTAGATCAGAAATCAGTTGCACGAATGAAGAGCACGATCTGTTTGTTGAGATCCCATTTCCGTAAAAAACTGACAAACACAAAAAGATATCAAAAACTGTACGGTGAAACACTGTTGTCCATGTCCTTCTGACTTTCTATAATTGGTTTCTCTTTATTTTGTTTATCTGTACTCAACCCCCCTTTTTCTATTAGTATTGATGTGGAGTTGGCACTGAGCTTGTTCAAAAACCGGTGATATATATTGTAAATATACAACCTAACAAAAAATAGTTTCACGTACTTCTTTGAACAGATAGCGTAACGCGATCCGTGCCTCTTGAATGTTGTGCAACTGAGCCAACCGCGAGCTGAGCATCTGTTCCGTTTGTCCGACCGACATGAGAGCGCCGGACTCGGACGGCGAGGAGCGTTCACCGGCATCGAGTANCTTTTGCTGCAAATCCGTGATCTGCTGCGTTTCACTCTCAATCGCATCGGTCAACCGTTTCACCTCGACCGTCCAATGTTCTCGTTCCGCGGTTTCTTTCCCGTCACACGCGGACAACTCAGTCTCAGCTTTGCGTAACTGGTCGCAAAGTGTACGTCGTGAGTCCATCAATGTGTGCAAATGGTGTCGAGCTTCTCCCATGCCCACTTGAATGTCCAAGTCCGCACTGACCCAGGCCCGAACACGAGAGGCGAAATCTACTTTGCTACTAGGGATGAACGGGAAAATGATGATGATAGGCAAAGAGGTGAGGTGGAGCAAGACACAAGGTCAGAGATGGGTTCCGAGATCCGTAACGAACCGCAATGGAAACAGCTCTGAAGTGTAAAATGATAGTCTACGATTGGTGGTTTTGTGTTCAAATATGCTAATATTCAGACAAGTAGCACAACAGATCTCATTTCATCACGAACAGTTCCATAATTCCGGTAAAGGAGAATGAGGTAATCTCCGATAGGCAAGAAGTTTATCGAGTGCCTAATAACTGAAATCACCAGAGGAGTTATTGCAATATATGTTTCTTGGCCCACTGGTCAAATGAATAATAATTTTGTTTACTTTACTTCGGTAAGCTCCTGTGAGAGACGATTAGTTATCGACCCTGTAACCTTGTGACCATCTCAAACCGCAATGGCCTGGACGGAAATATTCCAGTCTTGTTTCAATGGCGAACCACGCGGACATTTCAAAGTATCAGGTTCTCACCCGTTCACCATCTGAAGAGACAGACGGGGGTAAAATGAGATTACAAGCCGATTTTCCCGACCCGTTGCTCTAGCATCCAAACCTCACTTCTCCGTTGGAGAACTCGTTCTGCTAATGGATTCAGACAACAAAGGATCTCGTTTTCATTGATCTGGCACCATGAGATCGCATGTATTTTCGGAATGACTACAAAAAAACATGGACCTCAATGCCTTTATCAACTTCTTGGTGCAGAATAAACTTGGGAATTGCAGAACAGACAAAAATAGCCGCATTAAGCAAATCTTTCGAGGTAGACAGTATCACTATAGCCCAGAGCAATAGTAAATTCTAGTTGATATGCGATGTGTTGGTCTCCCCGAGCGTATATCGCGTTGTTGCACTATCTGTTAACGGATAAAACACTGTGAAACCACTTTTTAATCGAATTAAACGTAAATGAAAACAGTCATTGAAGTCAAGTAGAGAGGCCACACTTACTTCAGAGTGCCGGCAATCTCTGTCTGACGCTTCTCGCGCTCATTGCGCCGATCACGTTGACGTAGTAAAAGCTCTTTTAGTCGACGTTCAGTGGCAGCGGCTGCCTCAATACGGCGTTTCAGAACTGCTTGTTGACGTTCGTGTACGGATGCCATTTGTGACATTTCTGATTGCAAACGACGATCATGCTCTTGCAATTTGCGCAACTACAAACAAATGGAAAAACGGCCAGGGAATGTGGGTTGTTGTAATTCTCACACAGTCGGTAACAATGATTCCAACAAAATGGTGCATACTTTTTCACCGTACACAGTTGTGTGATAAGCAGCAGAAAGAACACAGTTCATCGTCACCAAGACCTACTGTTCGATCGTGACAACCGGCAATCTAAACCCCGTGAATTAGAATGGCAAACCACGTAAACCACAAAAAAGATCGTGTTATTGAGAGAATGCAGGCGTACACTAGGTTGTAAAATGCTTATTGTAACGTTTCGATCCATACTAGGATAACAGAAGTAACCATAAATTTTCTTGTATGCTAGGATTGTTTACCTGACAGTCATCTCGATCAGTTCGTTGGTGCGTCCCCCGGCAGTGGAGTGGATTTCTTCATCCGAGGCCACGGCAAAACTAAAGCCCGAACGAACTGCATTTTGTTGCATACGGGGGGGTCCAGTGTTTGGAGAGCTATCGCCTCGGCTGTGCATAGAACGATAAACCGAAGGCGTTTCGGCAGAGACGATGGCGTGTGGTAAATTTTCACCGTACACTTCCTGAAATTTTTTGTGTTAGTTTATCGTTCTTTTACGAGGCACGCCACTGCAGCAGGCAAACCGTACAGTATTCGCGCCACTGACTTCTATTCGGGGCCATATCTCTTAGCGTCTCCAACCAACGACAATCTTCATCCCTCGAGCCCAACCCGGAAGCCAAAACTGGAGTTAACTTCTCACCTCTACGCCATGTCGTAGTCTGATCGCAGCCGCCCTTTTCCCAGCCTTGGCCGGCACGTGCAAATAGAGCACGGATAGGCAGGCAGTTGTGAAGCCAGTATTACTTTTAGAGATTATATATATATATATATATATATTGTTTGTATCGGATACA